AAAGACAAGATGAAAGACATAAAGAAATATCTGAAATGGCGTTATTAATAACAAGATAGAGAAATAGAGACGGACAAAAACTGTAGAATCTCAATACTTTTACCACATCAGAGAGAAGAAAAATAGGGACCTTTTTCGAAACAACATAACATTAGATTGATCAGATGTGGCGGGGTACTAGGATACGTGGTTCAACATTCGCCTTATCGACTCGGTTGATCAGAATGCTGGTCAAATGCAAATCATTTGGGATTTTTCTAGAATTACTTCCCATTTCAGAGCAAAAAGTTTGAAGAAGCAGCATAATTGCTAAGAGAATTATTACCATTGGATTTCCTTGACGATATTCTCTTTGATAGATGTTGGAATTTGGGCGTGACCCGAATTCATTTGTTGAAATGTTTGAAATATTGAAAAATTCTAATTGAAGTACACGTCATGAAGAATTCAAATTTGGAATGCTATTGGAGTCTTATGTCAAGTTGAAATTCTATTTCGAATGCCCATTAGGAGTTGGAAATTTGTATTGAACTTAAAGAAGAGTTCGGAATGGAGAAAAATACTTTGGAACACTTTTGGAAGAAATTTGCCCGAGACGCAGTGCTAGCCTTGTACCATACAGGTGCCTGGGGTGTAGCGCCTAGGCGCCACCGCGCTGTTTTCGTTTTTACAGTTTTTTCTCTTCTATTTCGTTTTGGACTCGAATTTTTGGCATTCTATTTCATGAAAAACTCTACCAAGAGAGTTTGGACGTCTTATACATGTTCCCTATAAATACTAGACTCTTCTATAAAATTTTATAGTGTGAGAAAATAGATTACTAAAATTATAGGATCCATTGTAATTTTCTTTCTTTCCCATTATTATTGAGTCAATAAAATCTCATAATTCCTCTGCCATATTTCTTGTCTTCTTTATTCTTTTGTTTGATCAAATACTTTATTAATGTGCCTATAAATTCAACATCTCAATCCAGTGGTTGATTTCACAACAAATGGTATCAGAAATATTCTGATATCTTGTTTGTTTTTAAACAAGTGGTATCAGAGCCCAGGTTCAGCAGTTCCACAAGAGCGTAGGGTTTGATTTGTTCAAAGTTTTTGTTCTTGATGGCTTCCAAGAAGTATGACATTCCGTTTTTGGATCGGAACACTAGATTTTTGTTTGTGGTAGGTTAAGATGCATGCAGTACTCGCACATTTAGATTTGGATGATGCGTTGCTGAGAATTAACAAGATGTCAGCAAATTTGATCGCAGAGGAGAAATTACGGAAGGATAAGAAGGCGGTTTCTCACATTCATCTTCATCTATCAAATACTATTTTTCAGGACATTTTGAAGGAGAATTTAGCAGCTGCTTTATGGTTAAGGTTGGAGCAATTATGCATGACTAAAAGTCTGACAAGCAAGTTAAACCTCAAGCAGCGTTTATACTCACATCGAATGACTGAAAGAGGATCATTGGAAGATGACCTGGTTGTATTTAAGGAAATCGTCGCTGATTTGGAAACTTTGGAAGTAGAGTATGATTAAGAAGATTTGGCCTTGATCCTATTATGTTCGTTGCCCACTTTGTTTTCTTCATTTAGAGACACGATCTTGTATAACTGTGATACTCTCACCATAGAGGAAGTGTATGATGCATTGTATTCAAAAGAGAAGATGAAGCATCTGGTTTCTGAAGCTAGTGATGGGGAAGGCCTGGTTGCTCGTGGTAGTTCTGGAAGGGACATATCGAAGTCTAAGTTCAGTAATTAAATTTGTAACTACTGCAAGAAGAAGGGGCACTTGAAGAAGGATTGCTACAAATTGTAGAATAAAGAAATGATGGCTGCAAGTAGATATTCAGATACTTCAGGCGAAGCAGACTTCGTGGAGAACATTGTAAGTAATGGAGATTTCTTAACTATTTCTGACATTAAGTCTAAACCCGAAGATGATTGGATTCTTGATTCAGCATGTATTTGTCACATGTGTCATAATAAGGACTTATTTACTACATATGAAATTGTTTCCAAAGGTGTCGTGGTTATGGAAAACAACGTATCTTATCGGGTTATTGGAATTGGCACAGTCAGATTGAAGCTTTTGGATGAGACAATTAGAACACTTGGCCAGGTTCAACATAATCCAGATTTGAAGAAGAATCTCATCTCGTTGTTTATCCTTGATTCAAAGGGTTATGAGTTCTTTGATGGAGGTGGAACTTTGAAAGTTTGTAAGAGTGCCATGGTTATATTGGAGGGACGAAAAAGGTCTCCGTTATATATCTTGTAGGGTTGTACAGAATCTAAAAGAGTCAATCAGTACAGTTTCAATACCGTAGCGAACATTCAGTATGGTGCACTACATTTAGGATAACGTAAATGGTCGGATTTGAAGAATAATGCTCAGTGGAGTTCAGAAAATATGGATAATGCCGCTTTACCACAATCACATACGGTGTCATTGTATTCAATTGCTAGGGAAGGACCCAGTGGAACAAGGTATGTGAATGCCGATTTTGTTGAGCATGTTTTAAGTCAAGTAGATGGTGTACAATCTAGTAAGGGGTTTTCTGTAAAAGCATTTGGTATTAATTCTGTTTTGGGGTGTGTTACAGCCTATTTTGGTTAATTCAAAATCATTATGACTTTTGGAATCTGAGAAAATTCTATAAGAGTAGTGCTTGGATTTATTGGAAAATGTGGAGTATTATGTTTTGTTGGAGAAGTTAATTTTTGGGTTATTGTTGAAAAAGTATGTTCATTCCTTGAATGAATTCGTGTCAAGGTGGAAATTATTGGAATTTGGGTGTGAATGGAATTTGTGTCAATGTTCATTCATTTGTTGAAGTGTTTGAAGTATTGAAGAATTCTACTTGAAATGCACGCCATGAAGAATTCTAATTTAGAATACTATTTGAGTCCTATGTTAAGTGAAGTTCTATTTTGGATGCCCATTGGGAGTTGAAAATTTTTATTAGACTTGAAGAAGAGTTCGGAATAGAGAAAAACACTTTGAAACACTTTTGAAATAAATTTGCCCGAGACGTAGAGCTTAGGCGCCAGCATTGTAGTGCCCAGGCGTTAGCCTCAGGCGCCCAGGGTATACCACCTAGGCGCTACCGCGCTGCTTCCGTTTTTCCAGTATTTTTTCTCTTATTTCGTTTTGGACTCGATTTTTTGGCATTCTACTTCATAAAAAACTCTACCAAGAGAGTTTGGACGTCCCCTACATGTTCCTTATAAATACTAGGCTCTTCTATAAAATTTTATAGTGTGAGAAAATATATTACTAGAATTATAGGATCCATTGTAATTTTATCTCTTCTCCATTATTATTGAGTCAATAAAATTTCCTAATTCCTCTGTCATATTTCTTGTCTTCTTTATTCGTTTGCTTGATTAAATACTTTATTATTGTGCCATATAATTNCATATTTCTTGTCTTCTTTATTCGTTTGCTTGATTAAATACTTTATTATTGTGCCATATAATTTCAACATCTCAATCCGGTGGTTGATTTCACAACAATTGAATATTCTGGTATCTTGTTTGTTTTTTAACAATAGACTCAAGTTAACTCAAGCCATAAATATTAGATACTCCAGACAGTAGACTTGCCGACTATATGACATTGCTCGATTTTCATGGACACCCATCTAGAAGATAATCCTACCAGCTAAAAACTGAATTGAAGCAAAAAAAAATAAAAAGAGAAAATTTACATAAAGCATTATGGCATAAATAATTTATCAACTAATAAATACATAGAAAATTATGCCAGATATCATATTTAAGCAACTCCACAATATGAAATAGCATTTGATCACATACCAGTATTGAACATCACCATAGCTCCTTCCTTTCTTTGATTTTTCTTCCCTAATCTTTTTTTTTAATGACTCAAGTATCCGATCTTCGCATGACTAGTCGTGACGAGTGTCGGCCTTCCCCCCTGATTTGCTATCCAGGTAAATTCGAATGGGGTCACAACTTATACACACTTGAACTGGACATTCGGGAAGCGGTTATCCTCCCTATGGACCTCCCTTTACGACGTGCGGACGGGACCCCCGGAGGGACGACAAAGCGCACCATAACTTTGCTACTACTGGACATGTGTCTTTCAACATAAATGTTGACTTCCAGCTGTTGCGGGAATTCGAACATCCGATACTCCGTAGAGAACCATCCTGCTTTATCATTGCTAGGGGTGGCAACGGGTCGGCTCGGCCCATACCACGAGCCGAGCTCGTGGCTCATTACTCGCGTGTCGAGCTCGGTTCGGCCCGTGAGCTCGTGGCTTGTGGGCTGAGCTGAGCTCATCAATTTTTATTTTTTTTAAAGAGATAAACCTTCGATTTTGGACTTGTGGGCAAGCTCGTTGGCTCGCCCGAGCTGCCCGAGCTGCTCGTTGCTCGTTTTTTACGAGCCGACAAGTCGCTCGGTTCGGTTGCCACCCCTAACCACTGCGCCATGCCCGTATACTCTAAAAGAATAGATTTATTAAGAACAAGTGGTTACTAAGATGACAAATCTTATATTAGCTAAAGAAGGCCACTGAACTATATTATCAGCTACATTCTAACAAGTATCCATATCGTTTATACTTTATAAGGTATGCAGAAGTCCCACTTCAGAAATGATTAGTTCTGAAATGAATATACAAACTAATCAAAACAATCCAAAATTTTTTGTGTAGTTCTTGAACACGAGTTGATCACTATGATATGGGTCAACAAACCTGTTGTAAGAGCTTCTAGAGTTACAATTGCAGGTCATTGCTTTGAGGTGAACTTCAAAGTCGCCTATTATATATCCATATATTCTTCTGATGCACATAAGGAACTTCTCAAGCTGTACAGGCCAATTTTCTCCAAGTATACTGGGATTCGACTCCACTGCAACTCGAAAATCCAGTATTGACACTGAAACAAATCTATTGTGCTTCTATGAACATGGCAGGGGTCCCATCCTGTTTATAGCCTGATGATGAACATTTTCAGGAAGCTTGTGTTAGGACCTTGAAGCAGCTAAATCCAGACAAGACTGCGGTAATCTCTTCACAAACATGTCCATTCCAATGTTTAACAAGTTGACACAATTTGCTGAGATATTCAAACCCTTGGTCTCCAACTTCTGTTCCAACCTCTTCCTTAAAGAACTGATATTGGGCAGCTCACCAGTGTAATAACAGGTCTCGGCATTGAGATAAGGTGATGAGCCATAGCTGAACACTTTCCTGATTCCTTTCGTATTAAGAGATATCCCAAGAGGGGTTCTACTGTAAATTCCCAGGCTTCCAGCAAATTGTTCGACCTCTTCACTCTCTTCAACCAAGGTGACTTCAGCAGGAGGCATGCTACCTCAAAATAGCAACTCGGTGGCACTCTGCTGTTCCACAACCTTCGGTATTGAATCTTCACGTACCATATTTTGGGTCTTCCCATGAGACAAGAGAGGGCTTGGCTGTCCTTTTGATGTGCGGTCTTGAAGGGTAGAAGATCTTTCCTTCCTAGGAGACTGAGGAAACACATTTTTACAAAACAAATAGAGACTACTTCTTTGATACCCATTCGGAACTGCCAAATTCAATGAAGCTTGATCAGAGAAACCCATTATGAAGTGAGATATTATCTCTCCCCAATAATCCGACACAGAGCTTATCAAACTTTGATTTGCTGAGCTTGAGGTTAAAATAGTTATCTGCTTTTTGGTGAGCCAATCTCCTTTCAACATGAAGTTTCAGCTCCAAAGTACTGATTTGGGGGAAATGCCGATCTCTCGACATTTTGGCTCACAAATTAATCACTGTCATCTAAAAGGAATATAATGTATTAAAAGCAAGAAGTGCCACAGAATGCAACCAACCCATATTCGATTCTTGTTTCAAACCCTTAATTCTTGTCAAACCTCACCTTCAGTGAGCAAAGTATACACTACTTGCAGACAAACACTAGATGGCAATACTCTGAAAAAAATAGCAAAATCCACATCCAAATCAAACTCACAGTAGCATTTATCTTGTATCACTTCACTTTCTCATAAAATCCCAAATTCAACAATCTAGGACAGATAATTGAGCACATCGCCATGCTTCAATGAGCCAAATGAGAGTACAATTTAACAAGAAACACAAAAACAACTCCAAGAGCAAACTTTATCCAATCCCGCGTGAAAATTTGACTTCAGACTCAAACCCTTGAGTGGAATTTCAATTACGGATTAGGTGAGACTACAAAGGATCTCAAGTCTCACCCCGATGTGGCCTTGTACTCAAAGCTTTTTTCTTATGGAATTATACAATCATATGCTCTCACACACCAATTCCTCAAGCACGCCTCAATATTGGATTAGGTGAGACTACAAAGGATCTCAAGTCACCCTGAGCTAGTCCATGATTATTTTAAACTTGGGCTAGATAAAATACTATAGAGGGAAAATTCTAAACACGAGCCTTTTAATTTTTATTCAGATGTGGGATTCATTAAAGTCTAATTAAAAATAAGAAACTAAAAAAATATATTCTATTTGGAACCGATCGATACAAATTAATTAGATAATACTAAGTTAAAATCACAACAATCTTCACCTTAACTTTGTATTATCTAAGGTCTTTCATAAGAAAATTCTTCCATGTCGCCACCAAATTGAATCATGTACCTCCACAACAGTTTCGTTTCTTCAATCATCTTAGTCACGTCACTTGGAAATTTTCGACGAACATTTTTACAGCAGCAATTCTCAAAACAAAGAATTAACATATTCCATCATAATGAGTATAGTTAGAATTATCAAAATTTAAAACAAACTTTGCTAAAAATTATGGAGTAATCCACATTTGGTTTTCTCACAAGTCCATGCAGGTCAAACTGTGGTTTTCATCAGCCATCGACATAAATTTCACCACACACCATGCATCCAGGTCAAACCAATGTCCATGTGCAAATTTGTCGATCCGCTAACAATAACACATCTTCTATTATGACAACTTGTTGGCCAATGTATGCCATAAGGATGAATATATTCTTTCTAAATAGTATCATTCTCTCTCTCTCATTCATGAAGAAAAGAGACATATTGTTGACAATGTAATTAGTAACCCATATTGATTTCTATTTGTAATTAGTAACCCATATTGAGAAGAGACTTGTAATTAGGAACACGAAAGAAGAGACTTGATTTCTATTTGATATGGGATTTATAGTAGTCTCATTGCAAATAAGAAACTGTTAGATATTTATACAATAAATATAATACGTGAAAGAAATAATTAATTCAGATGAAATGTCCAATTGGTGAAAAGTGTGAAATTTGTGTGGTAGGTTGGGGTTCGAGTCACACCTCACGCATTATATTAAATTATTATTTTTTATCATTTTCGAAATTATTTAATGAGTCCACTAGCAAGTAAAATATGACTCTTTTTAACTATCCAGTATTAACAACACATTACTATTAGCCATAAAAATTGTAAATAATACTGGATCGTGGAGACAGTTACATCTTTTTTCTGCCTATATAAACACACATCTGGACATTAGAAATTTACTAAAAATACGAAATTGTATATTCCTATTCAGTAAAATAATATACTCAATTTTATATATTTTCTAGAGTACACTTGAGAGTTCTGAAAACCATTTGTAATTGTTGCACAATTGGTTTATTTGATCGTTGTATCCTGGAGGTGATTGTCAACAGAGGTCGCAGTAGTTATCGATAGATAATTTCGTTTTAGGATATCGTGCTGTTACAAGACTCGATCAGTCGATAAATGGAAAATATATATGGTCAATGTGATATATCTAGCAATATCAGTTAACCAACATGTAAATGGAAACCATATTTGAAATTCTTTAAGAGATTGATGTGATTATGAGCAGGGAGGATTTCCTCACCCATTATATCGAGATCTGGTGTTTAAGAAGATTTTAATAAAAATAAATGTATTGTGTAGTTAAAATCGTAATAAAAATTGTGAATCTCATTAAACGTGCAATTAAAATTGAATAATGCATGCATTTCTCCAATTTATATGATAACATCCACTGCAAGTTAACATGCTTATTCAACGAGTTGACTTAGACTAGAAAAGTAAAAAAGAACTAATCCACGGGTCCCACAAGCTCAAGTGCAACCACAGTTTCTACATGGACAATGTTAGCGGATTATTTTTAGTGTACAGGAGGGGTTTCACGGAGGGAACACACACAATAGGGGGTTGTTTTGAATTTTATGAGGTGGAGCCCACCTATTAATGTGTGTGTTCTGGAGGGGTTCCGTGAAACTCCTCTTGTACACCAAGAATAATTCACGTTGAACAAGTTGACTTGATGTAACAAACATCAAAGGTTCTTGTCTCAAGTCAATTTGATGGAAAATTTTACTAGGTCCAACGGCTGGCTATGTCACCATTCGTAGCATACACATGACATGGATGCTTGTACCTTGTGGTGCAGTTAACGTCAATTATAAAACATTAAAGATACGTAAGCTTTATCTAGAATGGGTTACAGAACTACAGGTGAAGGAATGGATTGGCTGCCAAAAAAACTGTTTTTTTTTTTTTTTGAAGGACAAAGTGTTTATCTTCAACCGTACATGTAGCTAAACTGTTAAGTCGGTTGAATATTAGTGTTAGAAGTACAAATAATATTGACCACGATAAAAGCAAACACTACTATGAATTCAACACTGAAGTAAGCATCAGATTGTGGGGGACAACTAGCCTCTTTCATGTTAACAGACTTGTGAGTGCTATTTTTGCATAACAAGGCATAACTTTAACTCGACTATTAATACAAATTAAAGTATTTGGCTTTCTACATACGATAAGAATAAAAATAAAACTACAATCCTGAATGCGAAAAGATGCAGCACTGCAATGCTACGGCTGGAAGAAAATGAGAGGAAATCAAGAAAAGATATATGATCTCTGTGCTTTTATTCTTGGTTTATTTGAGCATCATAATCAGGAAAGAAAAAAAACATTCTTGATCAGTAATTAGTACATCTAGAGAAGTCATGGGAGAAAATATGGTAACATAAACTAAATTTGACATTAAGGTATCATCAAATAGGTAGCCAAGCAGTAGCAAACACAACATTGTGTCCTTTCCATGTAAGAACAACATCTTCTTCTTCCCTCTTTAGTCCCCAACCTGCTGCATGTTCATCTAGCATGCTTTTCACTTCTGTAATGGCTTCTTCACTAAAAGAAATTCCCCGAAAACTGGCATTTCTCATTCTTTGCGCACATTTGCTCTTAGGTTCAAGCCTTTCAACTCTCTGAGGCCCTTCGTGAGCAATTACATTTTCGATCTTCCAACATATATCAGCTTCATACCATTGCCTCTGCTTGCTCCCCCGGGGCAGAAATGTGTCCAAAGTGTCAAAGGGTATCCAGAGATAATTGTAGGCTGACCTTAATCTGTGCACTAGATTGTTTGATGTAAAGTCTGCATCTTCATCGACTAATATCACGATTGTTGGATCCAAACTTCGTAATGCCTCAAGGAACATTGATCGAAGGAAGGAATTACTCGAACAAGTTTCAACGGAAATTTGAGGTGAACTAGTGTTTTGAACCACTGGTAGGGTTTCATCTGGTATGTAATGAAGCATCATATGTGAATTTATGACTAATGCCTCCCCATTTTCTCCATGTATCAGATGTTGCATCCTTAGTTGTTCTATTAAAGAAGAGAACCCGTTTGACGCACTTGAAGGAATGACACTAAATTCCATCACTACATTACGAGACCTAGAGAAGTTGACTAATTTTGAACCTAATTCCTCGTAGGAAAGATCTAGCATAGGAGGGAAATCCTCTGTGTGTCCAGCCACTGTGAGTTTGACCAGTGGCACCGCCTCAAAACGGGTGGCTATGGCGTCTATCAGGGTTGGAATTTGCACGCAGTGTGTCGAACTTAAGTCAACTATATGAACCACTGAATACCCTTCAACAGCTTCTAATATGGCTGCATTTGCTGCAGTGTATCCGAACCGGTGCCACGGGGTTAAATCCACAAAACTGGCAAGTTCAATAATAGAGAATTTGTGGTTATTCATGGCTAGATTGGTGTGCACATTTGCCATGGCGGTGAGCAATTTACAGGTTCCGCTTTTCGCAGCACGGGCGATGATGGCTCGAAGGAACCCACACGTTAGGCGCTGGTTTGAGTCACCATCTGGTGGGGCAATATTGTTTAGAACCCACAAAATTTGTTGTGCAAGAGTTGCATCGTTGATCTGGTGGGGCAATATTGTTTAGAACCCCCAAAATTTGTTGTGCAAGAGTTGCCTCGTTGTTTTCAATGGCGATGGCGCAGTGGACTAACAATTGTTCCATGCAATTG